AGAGAGAGAGAGAGAGAGAGAGAGAGAGAGAGTATATTTACTTGAGTAGGGAAGAGAGATGGATAGGGAGATGCCCAACTTTTACCAGTTTTTGCCAGAGAGAGAGAGCAAGTTTTACTTTCATCCCTTGAGCAGAGGGAGTGAGTGTGAGTGTGAGTGTGAGTGTGAGAGAGAGAGATTTACTTTCATCTCGTAATCCAAGAGAAAAAAACTTGGGTCCTCTTTCTACACTGTTCAAAACCCACATTTGAAATCATGGCTTAATCCATTACCAGAAATGAATGTCATTATTAAAAATTTAAGAGAGAGAAACACCCACCTGTTAGGCTCCTGCTACAGTCCCTCTCTCTCTAATAATGAATCTAAGAGAGAGAAACAGCCACCTTTAGGGCCGCTTCTCTCTCTAATTCAACCCCTTTCGACAAAATTTTGGAATCCGGTCAGCTTCTCCATATTATTATCATTGTTTATCATTATTACCATCATCACCTGCGTCTATTGAGCTGGACTCTCTCTCTCTTCTGTCTCTTTCCCTTTCGATCCTATTTGGGCCTGGTTTTTGTAGTGTCATATCCTCCAAAGTGAATAGGAGAGAGAGAGACAAAACCATGGCTTTTGCTGGAACAACCCAAAAATGTCAAGCTTGTGAGAAGACTGTTTATTTGGTGGATCAGCTCACTGCTGATAATAGAGTCTATCACAAGGCCTGCTTCCGCTGCCATCACTGTAATGGTACTCTCAAGGTATTCAATCTCTCTCTCTACCGTTTTGTCACGAGTCCCCTACCTTCCTGTGAATTAATTTCTTTCATTAACACTTTTATACCATGATATTTACTTTTAGTTTGAATTAATAGTCGGATGATTTTGGGTTGCATCGAAACAACAGTATTAGTGATATTGATGATCGCTCCAGCTTTTGTGCTTTCCATCTGATCATGAATATTTGCTGATTCACTTATTTATTTATTTTGTTTTACTGTTGTTTGCAAATATTTCATAGGGGTTAATATTTGGTTTAGTGATGGGTCTTGTTCTTTGTGAAATTTTAGTGGGCTGCGATGAAGTTTGCTTATTTATTTTTCTAAGGGGTTGATCAAGATTCTATCTTCTCTCGACAATTTAGGAGTTGGCTAGTTTTCATGTTGTGCATGTAGGTTTTGGTCCAATTTATGGGCGTTCTTTCGAAATTTTTTTCTTGAAATTGATTATCTGAACTACGAATATAATTTACTAGTTTTCAAAGTGAAGCTCTGAGTTTATTTAGGTTTTGATAGTTTTCTTATTTGGCGAAAGATGCTATTGTCAGTTGTTAAAATGATCTTTCCCTGTTTTTATCAAAAAGAACAAGAAAAACAACTTTGCATGAAGTTCTCTTCTCTTCTTTCTTTATGCGGAGACAAATGTGAATATGAATTTGCAGATAAAATCTGAAGAAAACTGGCTGTGTGATTATTGTTATTATTATTATTACTATATTTTTGGAAACCAGAGACTAAGCCTTTGCAGCAGGAAGGTTCCCATGAGTAGAAACAATAACTAAACTTATGTGGACAAGGAGAATAGACTCTTCATCAGAGTAATAACAAATTATTAACTTATGGAAAAACATTGTGGACATTGGAGAACATGCGTCACTTGTGACATAATTTCTATGCGTATATATTATACACAGATCTTGTTTAGAGAAACGATAATTACTTCCACTATGGTTCAATTTCCTATGGCCTATATTGCTGCGCTTTCTTGACAAGGTATACGCACATGATATGCTGGATGAAAACTCGGAATACCTTGGATATTGTCAACTATTGAGTTCGCTAAATGGCACTCTTGTGCTAATTACCTATCTCTGTTTCCTGTCCATAACGATGAGAACATGATCTGAATAGTTGAAAAGTATTTTGCCCGATTGTAGATTTTGAGGGAGATCAGGTTCTTGTAGCAAAGCAAGTTGCAGCTTCAAACTGTAAACGTAAAGGACAAAGTTCAACGAGACAGAGAAAAAAAAGGGGAAATTATGAATAATCAACATTGCAAACAAGAATAGTGGGAGTTTTAGCAATATTGGAGAGAAGAATACTATCCTTATTTGCCTGATCCTCTCACAAATAATGAAGGATTATTTACAAAACATCCAGCCGCCCTTAGCTGAAGCACAATTGCTTGAAAATTTTTAACCTATCATGTGGTGCTTGTTCAGTGGCAAATTCTGACCATTTCAGGTCACCAACTAAATAGGACTAGAAGAGTCTAAGCTTCTTTAAATTATAGTGAGATTAAATCTTCTCAAAGTTTGAGTGTAGCCTTACCAGATGTGCTCATATTTTCTGAGTGAGCTACTTGATGCGTCATATCTCATAACCTTATACACCGACTTAATCGAGCTACTTGAAGGGTCATATCTCATAACCTTATACACCGACTTAATCTAGCAAGTAGTCTCAAAGTGAAATGAGAACAAAGTCACAAACTGCTAAATTGCTGCAATCTCTTGTTCCCAGAGTCATAATTCACATATTTCATATAAGATGATGGGCACCTGGAAAGCACAAAGGCATAGTATGCATGCAGAATGACACCCTTTAGAGCAGTTAGATCCATGAATAACATGAGATAAAGCCCATGTGAGGAACATTAACCCAAAGAAACACAATCTGTATGGTAAGAAGAAGCTGTCTGATTCTAATTGTCGTGAGTAAAAACTGAATTGGATTGAGATCTAGCAAACTCTATTGGAGAGCTCAAGTACCTGCTGAGGTTGGTAAATATTTTGGAGGAGATCAAGCCTACTTGACATGACAATTTGACTGTAGGAATTTGACCCTGGTGATCTGGATGGCGGAACCCAGCTTATTGTATTCCATGATGGACCTGAAGATCCAAATGTGCATGTCACACCTACTGACTGATTCATGCCGATTTTGGTGCACTTGCTGGTGGTAGTTATGTTAAACCTGTGGAAGTAACTCTGCATTTTGGGCTTGCTGCCCACTGGGCAAGGTGAACTATTCTGATCTTGATAAATTGGTAATGGTGGGGCAAGATGCGTCTTTGATTGTGGACTCAGTCTACTATGTACTGGATCATAGCGTGGTATTATACATGGAAAGACATTTTTCAAAAATTTATAATGGACGCATTCATGTATGTTCAAGGGTGGTTCCCATTAAAAAAAGAAGTTAGGCAGTCAGGTTGCCACTATCACATTTTTTGTGGCAACATAGAAACAGTATGTGGCAGTAGTGGTCTCCTTGAAGTTACTCAAGCAGTTGTAGTGTAATTCCTTATAAAAACAAAGAAAATATCATCAATGATAATATCAATCGCCACAATGGATCTAGATTATCTTGCATTAAACCTTAATATCCTAGCTGAAGTTCTGTTTATTTATTCATTCCGTTCTTTTAAATTTTGCTGTTCTCGTAAAAATTAGGAATTCTTTAAGTACAAAGGACAATTAAAGCATCTCAAATTATGCACTTCAAGAGTTGCATTTAATGTACTGCTGTATAAGGTTGGGCAATGAGTTATATAGATTTGGGAGCTGGGTTGGGTTAGTTAGAGGGACTGTGGTGATGCATGAGCATGTCTGGGTTTCTTCGTATTGAGGGAGGTTGATGGTGGATCAGAGCAGGGTGCATTCTGGTGCAGAGCAGTTGAGCATGAGCAGAGTGTATCGTTCTGAATGTGGCCTCATTTTGTATTTTTAAAGCTTTTGCAATAGAGGTTAGTTATCAAAAAAGGAGTCGAGCAGCTTGAGCATGGCGCAAGAAAAGACAAGAATCTATAATTGCCAGTGAGCTGGCAAAAAGGCTACTTAGATAAGGGGTGCGAGACATGAAAATGTTCCGAGAAATTAGATGTTTTCCCTATTAATCGCATGTTTCGTTGTATGTTGTGTATTTGTATCTAGACGCCTTCCTTTCAAGCCCTCACATTCAGGTTTGAGTTTTGGTTCCGGTCTTTTTTCTTATAGAAATTCAGAAAATGCTTGAAGTGGATTTCTAAAAGGTAAACCGCTTGTTGGCATAAGTACTTCGTGAGATGTTAGAATTTGGTCCTTTATGAAGCTTCAGTCAAGAAGTTGAGTACAAAATTTAAATGCACCCTAGGTTCTTACCTAACTTTCCAGTTCATTTATAATGAACTTCCAAGTATATTAAAGGTTCCCAGTTTCTAGTTAAGAGAGCTTATTGACTAAAAAAAGAACATATTTTAGGTTTGAAAAGGTAGTGTGGTAGTTAACTGATTGAAGGGTACTTAAAGAAATGTTGGATCTAGTTTTCTTTATGCATTAGGTTTTTGACTGGAAACTGGGATTCACACGTTAGGTGTTAGTGATTCAGCCTTATGCTCTAAACATGGTGTAATGATTCAGCCTTATGCTCTAAACATTAAGTCAAGAGCCCCCTCGCACCCTTCATTTTTCATATTATTATATATTCTCAAACTTGGTAGTTGCAAAAGAAAGTTGTATGATTCGATGTACAAGATATGGTTACGAATGTCATGGCGTGCCAAGCACACATATCTTTGAAGTGATTGACAGTTTGGAAAATAACCAAAGAGCTACATATTGATATTAAAGTTATAAGTTCTGCAGCATGTCGAGGGTCAAAGAGTTTAAATGTTGATGTGATGGTTTGCTGAGATAAAGAATTGTTTCATTAAATTGGAAAGCACCATACATAGTTTACTATTTGTATAGGAGAGATATTATAATGGGATTTTTAAGAAAAAAGCCTTATTAGATTTACTTTTAAGGCATTAGACTTTGGCTCTCCTACTTTTTGGATAGAAACAAATAGACTGCTCCATATAAAACAAATTTATTGGGCCTCATTTGTTCTCATCATGCACATTTTTTTCCCTCATGGTTTCTTCCATTTCCTTTCTCTCTCTAGAAACCTTTTTTTTTTTATTTTCCCCACTTTTTCTCTCTAAAACCCAACTCATGATTCCTCTCTCTGAACACCCACCCCATTCTTCTCCACTCTCACATTCTCTCTATAAAAACCAAACGCATTCTTGCCACCTCTCAATATCTCTCTAGAGCCTAAATCAGAGAAAAAAAAGAGAGAGAACAGAAATTGAAGAATATAGAGAACTCACATCCTTGGGTTTCTAAAGACATGATAGAGTTTCTTCTTCTTCATTGGTTGCTCTCTCTTCTTCTTTAATTCTAATTTTAGAGAGAGAATGTGAGAGGAGGAAAGAATGTGTTGGGTTTTCAATAGATGATGTAAGAGAAGGGAAGAAACCTTGTGGAGAAAATGAGAGATGAGAGAAAAGGAGGCTTTAAAAGATCTTGTTTTCAAAAGAGGGGCAATCGGTCTGTTTGCCCATCTATGAAAAGTAGGAGCTAAAATAAAAAACAAAACTTCATGATGTCCAATTTCTTAAAAAAAATTCTTAGAAAGCCTTTTTCTTAAAAAGCCCTAGTATAATACATGTAGTCACTGTTATACGTTCTCTATGAAGTTGGTGATGAACCTGTCCATCCATTCTCCACCCAAGCCGAGGCACCGTTCATCTCTGCCACCATCATTGAGAATGGACTTTTCTACATGTTGTATACAATTAGTGTACAATGTAGAGTACACTATTATAAATGGTATGTTATGCAATCTGTTTGGAGATAACTCAAAAAAGCTACGAGTTCATATAGTTTAAAACTGATTTGATTTCCTTTTACTGTGTTTTGTCAGCAAAAATGTTGATTGGTTATTCTGGATATATCTTGCATGTCCATCGCATGCCAAAATTTGATTCATATCTAACTTTAATGTTTGCAGCTCAGCAATTATTCTTCCTTTGAGGGTGTCCTATACTGCAAGCCTCACTTTGATCAACTCTTCAAAAGAACAGGGAGTTTAGATAAGAGTTTTGAAGGTGAAATTACAATCAATTTCTTTTACACCTGTCCTTCATCCTTTTTTTTCCTCAAAGAATAATTTCTTCTAATAATTTGCTTTCACTCTGACTATTTGGCTGGTAATTTGTGTAGGGACCCCAAAAGTTGTGAAAGCTGACAAATCTGTTGATCATGAGGTAATCCTCTAGGCCAATTGAAATGTTTTGTTTGTCTAGTGCATGTTTTTCAGAGTGTAGTTGTTTCGTCGTGATGGTTTGCTGTCACAGATCAAGCATAGTATTCTCACTCTTTTTTTTCTTTGTTTTTGAAACTAGACTTTCTCATGTCTCTTTGGCTAGCTATTTGACATCACTCTTGAATTGTCTTTCTATGAATTTAATTTAGGGCCACGCCACAAACAAGGTTTCAAGTTTGTTTGCTGGAACTCAGGATAAATGTGTAGCTTGTAAGAAGACTGTGTACCCCATAGAAAAGGTAATTTTCAATCTCATTACTCATATGATGATATATAACTAAAAATAAACATATATTTTAAGACTATCATAAAGATTTCCAATATTGAAACCACATTTTTCAATACTATATGTAAGTGGGCTCTAATTTGATTGTTTAGAGCCTCGGCTCTATGCAAACCTCACCCCATATATATATATATATATATTGCGGTTTGTATAAGGTTGCAACCTCCAACATCAAATTAAGGTGTACCCCCAAACTTGGTCATGCAACACCAGTGTTTTAAAAAATGCTAGGTGGCCGGGGGGGTCCAAGCTGCCAGTGCCTAGGTGGCCGCCCAGAACCTGGGCAACCCAGTAGAAAGAAATATTTTTTGGGGTTTTTCTCTCTCTAAAATAGGCTCTAATGGGTTTTAGGTTTCAAATGAACCTAAAACCCACAATTTTACCCCTTTAGTATCAAAAAAATGACCAAAAAAAGCAGTCAATGAGGGGCATTTCTGCTCTTGGGCGGGGCGCAGGCCCTGAGCGGTTGCCTAGACTGGTTCAGGCAGCTGCCTAGGCGGGTTCCCGGGCACCTAGGCGGGCACCCAGAGATATCCGCCTAATTTGGCCGACTAGGCCTAGCGGTGCGCCCAGGCCTTTTGGACAGCTTAGGTGCTGGGCGGTTCGCTTTTTAAAACACTGTGCAATGCAATTTTAGTGTTGACAATTCTTGGGATGGTGCGAGAATATATTTTTATCTCTAATTATAAAATTTTAAACTTAAAAAATGATTCAAATCAACCAAATCTATAAACGCACAAATAACTTGAAAGTGGATGGTCCAGATAATGTGTTGTAAGGTGTACTATTTTTAGGACTTAAAATCTCTTGTTTTCTCCACATCCATATATCTGGATGTCAAAATGATCAGTTAGATGTTTTTCTAACATCAAAACAACCTTTTTCGAAGGATTTTAGAGGTGCACCTTAATTCTACACTTTAAGGCATTAACCTCTAGAAGATTAAAGAACTGAAGTTTTATTTGTTCTTATATGATGCTCTGAATTTCTAATAGTTTTTGTGCTGACCATGGTGGTACATCTTATTGTGGCTGTTAAAAGATTTCGCTTTTGTTGGAAATCTTGGAGAAAAGGGATCTTTTAAAGTAAAACGGAAAATTTAAACCACATAACACATATGTACACAACATTCATGTGTTTATGTATATATGCATGTATATATCATGCGGTTTTCAAAATTCTAGAAATTTTACCAATGCGAATGACTGCTCGTAAACACGACCTCTGTTATGAGACGTGTCCCTAAGCTTGGACTTGCATGTCTAGTGTCTGGGCACTTGTGCCTTTCAGACATTTGTCCAATGGTTTGTGTTCAAAAGCTTGATCTTAGTGCCTACTTTGTCAGTGCCAAAGCTGAGTCAACTAGTTAGCTGGGGAAATCTTAGCGAGTTTTTCAATGTTTTATTTGAAGACTTTGAGACAAGTGAAGTGACATGTAAAGGGATTCGAAGTCAACATGTCTCCAATTTTTATGTGAAGAATTTAAGAAAAGTGAACTGGCATGTAAGGGGAGTCGAACCCAGGTTGTGACCCAACTTGTACCACAATGCAACTACATAGGAAGACGGAAGACATGTAAGGGGAGTCGAGCCCAGTCGAAGTGCTTGAGGGTCTTTCTTTTTTTTTTTGAGTTTTTATATCAAAATGGAAAGCTTATTTTGATTTTTTCTTATACTATGTCTCAGGACCTGTTGACCGTTTTTGGAGTGAACTAGTCAATTTAAAAGTTAACACTAGTCCTATATCGGAAAAACTCACTGAGTGAACTTGACTTGTCAAGTTTTATAAATGAAAAAATAGGGATTTGCCAAAGTTTTTGGTTATATATAGTTTTCTGTGTTGTTCAGACACATCAATGGCATTTTCTGAAGTGAGAGTAATGTTGTCTGATGTGGTGACAAGCTAGATTTGAATCCCGCTTTTGAGACTTTATGATTTTAAAACTGCTTACCAAAGTATGAAAAAACTAACATGGCCTTCTTTTGATTGACCTGTTTGATTTGGGAAGTTGATTGAGTTCTGGCGGTGGCTGAGATGGCCACCAGGTTTGAGTTTTTGAACCCGACTTCATAGTTATGCCACTGACCTTGATCATATGTACACACATGCCACACGTGTCGATCACAAACCCTTTAAATTACTGGGAGTCTTTTGTTCATTGCTCTGCTGTGAGCATTATGATATTTAACTCGTCAGTGTGTTAAAAGTCTTCATCAAGCCTCATCAACAACTTCGTGGTTTTCGGACTAGAAGGACTCAAATTTAGAACCGGCACATGCGTTGCCGGATTTGATCTCACATTAACATCAAGATGTTCGCTCTAGCCCCCACTGCCCCATTTTGTGAAGTTTGTATTGAAAAAATTGCTGCCATATGAAGTTCTTATTTCCCTTCTCTTCCAAAAATCTGCCATACGAAGTTCTTATATTCATGCTCTTCCAAAAGTCTTATATCAAAAATTTGCTGCCATATGAGGAAATTTGTGTTTTTCCCTCATATGGATTACAAATCCATCTGCTAATAAAAGCCCAGAAGAATTAAATACTTTGTTAGTTTGTTGTGTTGTTATTGCCCTGGTTTCATCTTGTTCTCTCAAAAATTGTTAGAGATGTCTTTTGTTTCTTCTTGGCCCAATTTCTTCTCAATTGCATCAAAGTTTGATTCTGAAACCATTGATGTCATTTATGTAGAATTGATGGTTAGAACTACAGGCTTTGGTCCTTGCTGGTTTGCAAATTCTTTACTTAAAACGGATATATGGGGCCATATTGATGGTACAATTGCACAGGCGACAAAGGCTACAGCTGTAATTGAGTGGGACTGTGGGAGATCATCTGTAGCTACATCAACCCTTAGATTTTTAGTTCTTCTGATTCGAGAATTGCCCGAATCTCAGTGTTCCACTTGGAAGGCCATGTGTGATGGATATCTCAGGGGAATATTTTTCTTTACCAACTTGGGAATTATTTGATGAATATTAATTGAGGTGTTCTGAGCATTTATGTGTACCTAAATTGTAAGAGCAATTTTACGGAGCAAGATGTTCCTCATATAACCAGTCTTTCCATCAGATGCAGCTGAGGTTGTCAGCAAAGAGTCTATGAAGAATCCCAGCTGTTTCACATTCTTAGGCATGTGTGACAAGAATATAAGACTGAGCGATCTTTGTTTCTTCAGCAGAGTCCTTGTCCCCTTCTTGATGATGCCCTTTTAGTTCTCCTTATTGAATTGACTAGATTTAACTGAGTGGGACCATATTTGATGGTGGAGCTCATCACTACTCCACTGTGCGCTGTAACTACAAGAAGGTACCTGTCTCTTGTATGAAAAGAATTTTAACAAGATTCTATGGGCACCATGACGCTGAAGCGAGAAATTTTGGACTCAATAAAAATGAAATCTAAGAGGTTCAAACAGAAGCATGGTGCATTCTTTTATGAGAAAAGGGGAGCAACCCATGCTTAGTCTCTCTTATTTTGTGGCTCAGACTCAGTCAAGTGGGTTGATGGTAGGCAATTGCTAAATGGCTTAAGTAGTGATGTTTTGGACACTTTGTTATATTTGATGTTAGTGTATGCTTGCAACTTAATAAAAAAAGCTATTATGCTATAAGCATAAAAAATAGTAGTGTTTGATATCAATTGTTTGTGTAAGTAAAATTTGTAGGGAAGATTGGTTGAGACTGATGAAGCAAACATTTTGGATGCAGTTGGTCATTTGTGAGTGCTCGTATGAAGCAGAACTTTATAGTCCATAGAACCCTGTGAGAGAACAGATTCCCAAACAATGGTAGTTAAATTGGCATAAAGTACATGCAATAATAAACATTATTCACAACAGCTTTGATTCTTATGGGTCAAACTTGATATTGTTTTCTGGGGTAAATTATCAAGGAGGTCCTGTTCCCTTTTTCGCTAAAGGAAAAAATTAATTATGAACAATGACCTATGGAAAGGACAGTTTGATACATGAAAATCCATAAGCAGGGAATGGAAGTCTGGAGGTTGCAATCATCAGACTGTTGCCCCTCTAAGGAGTGTCCCCTTCTTTACTAGTGCATCAACCACCATATTGCCCTCTCTAAGGGAGTAGATGATCTTCCATGGATAAAAACTCCAATAACCTTGAGATCATGATTATTTGCAATCAATACTTTAAATTTCCAAGGGACCTCGGTGCACTTTTCGTGACCAGATGTGCCGAATCACTCTCAATCAACAGATAGAAACACTGAACTTCCATAGCTAGATCAACCCATTGATGAGTATCATGTACTTCAGCCATGTTTTGTATCTCGAGCCATGTTTTTTATGCTTCTCCAATAAATGAGCTTTGGATTGATATTAGATGATTTGATCAGGGTCGGGATTGGGAACCGGGCTTGATTGGTTTCATTGTTGGCAGTTGCAGTACCACAGCCGGGGTTCAGGTGTGACTTCTGATCTATCCAAGAGATAGAGATTGGAGTTAGGTTTTAAGCAGATCTGCAGGAGTCGTACTTTTGAGTTATCGTTTTAAGCAGATCTGCAGGAGGCTATCGTTTTAAGCAGATCTGCAGGAGGCTTACTTTGATACGATCATAATCTTCCAAGAACATGAGGAAAAGTCTTTACTCTACTGGTATATAAAAAAGATAATTTTGTATACACATTTTGGTCCAGAAAATAAACATGTGATATAACAAGTACTAGAGTAGATATTTATTTTATGTTGAAAATCAGATTCCAAATTTGTAATTCTTGTGAACTTTGGGTTGTTTCCTTTATAATATTGGGGAACCAGGGCTTAATCTCAGAAATTTTTGAAATAGTTGTTGTGTTGTAAAACACAGATTTGGCCCCCTAGGTGGCCAGGGGTCCAGGCCGCCTATGTGGATGCCTAGTTCCCTAGGCAGCCCGTCTAGGAAGGTGAGGGTTCTAGACCCCAAGAATGGTGTTTGAGGGGTTGGGTTGGAAACCAAAACCCACAAATTGATGTTGGTAACCAATTTTTTCAGAAATACAAATAAAAAATATTATCCAAGTTCCAGTTACATCATGCATATATCAACTTTAAAATTGAAATTGAATTGTTAAAAGTCAAAAACTATAAGAGTTTAAAAGGTGCCCATATCCTAGATGCAATAGATCTTGTATCGAATCGGTGATCGTTGGTAGCCAAAGTCTTTTTTCACAACCACTTCAAGCCACAAAAGGTATAGGGTTGAATGCTTTCCGATTTTCAAGAAATTGAAAAGTTCAAAGAAAATTTTCAATCTTAAAAAAAATCTCAAAATTTTGAATTTTTTATTTATTTTTCTCTCTAAAACAATGAAAAACAGTTTTTTTTTTGCCTGGGGTGGGGGGGAAGTTTAAATGAAAATTATATAAATTAGCCTTGGAGAGAGCATTTTCCTCCCTGAAGCCAAGGGGCTCAAAGCACCACCTATGTGGCTGGGCGGAGGCGAGTACCTTGGTGAGCCCTTGAGTGCCTGGGCACCTCAACACCTAGGCAGCCCGGCTGGGCCAATCCGCTTTGGTGAGGCAAACACCGGATAGTTTGTACTTCAATCACTTTGCTACCATCAAAATCATATCATTTATTGGATTATTTTGTTCATCCATTTTGGAAAATTTCTTCTCTAAACTGTTTTTCCCTTTCAGGTGGCAGTTGATGGTACGTCTTATCACAGGCCTTGCTTTAAATGTACCCATGGAGGATGTGTCATAAGCCCATCCAACTATGTAGCACATGAGGGTAGGCTCTACTGCAAACATCACCATAATCAGCTTTTCAAGGAAAAGGGAAATTTCAGCCAACTTGACAAGCATGACCATTCTAAAGGGGTGACTGAGAACACGGTAGTTGCTGAGTGAGACATTTATTCTTTAAGGCAATTTGTTCTCTACATGGCTTGTAATCACAGGTTGATGAGGCGGAAATTCAATTATCTCACCATGGGATTGACATGCAAAGTCCTAGATAGGAGATACTGTTTTATGATGTGTTTAGATTAAGTGTTTGAGAGATGGGTGTGTATATTTATATTTATATATCGCATTCTGAATGGTAGAATGAAATGGCCGTTTTGTCGTATGATCAGTATGGTTTGTATAGGTTAATGGTCGTGTTTGTTGGTGTGAGAGATGTACGAGGAATATATGGTTGGCATTTTTGACTCTGACAAGCATAGTTTGTCTATTATTGGTGTTTTAGCTGTTGATGAAGTTGGTGAGTTATCTTCACTATTTGTGGTGCTAGATATGTTTTGTATGTTTTTGTTTTGTTCTTGAGTTATTTTTTAAATGTGGTGCATGGTCACTTCAATCTGGGAATGTGAGAAGATAGTTTGTTGGTCACAAGTTTTCTTTTACAAAGAAAGTAACTGTATTTGGACCTCAATTGCTTTCCGCGAATATGGTGGATTACTTTTTCTTTGGATATTTTTTTTGGGATTGTGTGCAAAGAACCATTCTTCTTTTGTACAAGAAGGTCATAATCAATTTTCTCGTAAATTTAAAAATGGGTGGTTATAAGAGTGTTATTGAATAGATACAAAGTTTCAATTTTTTTTTTTGGACTTTGTGACACTTAAAGCCATCCAATTTGAAAAAGAAAGCGGTCTCTGTGTAGGCAATACTTATTTATTTTTCCAGAATATGCAAATATCGTGAATTACTTAAACAGTATTTTGGCCAAGTTGGAGATTGGAGCCCACGCTCCTTGGAGCTCGATTTCAAGGTCCGTTCATTTCAAGTTCTAGAGTGCGGCTTGAAGCCTGACATGATATTTCATGAATGGAGGGGAGTGATTTCATGAATTGGTTCTACAGTAATACAATGAAGTAATCTTATAAATCCATATTGGAGCCATTTGTTTGACCCAAATATCTAAATATACATTTTTTTTCATCATAATAACTATTTATAAAAAAAAGCAAAATTGGAAAATACAACTTAGAAAGTTTTTTTTAGCTCAATTAATATAGGCTGTCTATTTTAGTTAGATGCTTAAATCAAGGCTTTAGAATGATGGTTTTCTTTTTCAATTTTTTTCTGTTATCATTAGATTAACAATATTAAGAGAGTAAATTTAATTTTGAATTTATGAAGGTCTAGATCTTGAAATTTTCCTAATATATGGATTGGATTCACGGTTGGGGAGGATTTATTTTTTACCATGTCTATGGTAAATTTAAATTTCTATTTTTTTGAAATTAATTATTGGGCTTTGTAAAACTTGAGGTCATAGAAATGCCACAAATATGGTTTTTTAGAAGTATAGACATGAGATCGTTCTCTATGGAAAAAAAGAGCGATTTTATGCAACGCTTCTATAATAACATAACAAAACAATATTAAAAAAATCATGTTAAGGCTATTTGTTTGATAATTTTTAAATATAAATTTTTATCTTAATAAACATTCAAAATAAGGAAAATTTTGAAACATAAACGAAAAATCTCTTTTTAGCCCAATTAATATAAACCATTCATTTTAATGAGATGCTTAGATCTAAGCCTTAGAAGGATCTTTTTTTATTTTTAATTTTTTTAGATAGCTTTATTATCATAATAACAATGTTAACAAAGGAAAAATATAATTTTGAATTTATAAAGACCTAAGTCTTGAAATTCTTTCATCGTTGAAAGGGATTTATTTTTATTGTTGGAGGGAACTTATGTTTTTTACCATATTAAAGATACAAATTAAATTATATTTTTTAAATTGATTATTAGAATGAAGAAAGTGTGTGTCATCATGACATCACCCCTGAAGCACGACATTCTCACATTACGACCTTAACAATTGAAAGTTCTCTTCTAGTTGCTACAATGAATCCCTCTTTTCTCAAAAAAGAAGCATGAAATAGCCGTAGCCCGACCATAAAAGGAATTGGAAAGAACTTTCTCAGAAAATTGGTTCCCGTGAAACTCCGAAGCCCAGCTGCTCATTTACACGCGCGTGCTTCATTGCTTGGCACGTGGATACTGACACGTGTGATGCGTTGCGCTCTGCACAGGACTTTCAAATCTCCATGGTGGGAACCGGGAAACGTAGAGAAACTCGAATGTTTTCAATCTCTTTGTTTGGAGCGCCCTAGAGAGAGAGAGGGACAGAGAGAGGAAAGAGAATTGAGTTTTTGTCATTTTCGGAGGGAGCGAGAGAGAGAGGCTACAGATTGGAAGAACCAGTGGAGAGTCTAGTTTCTTTGACTGGACATGGCAGCGGAAAAGGGGCAGAATAAGGAGGAAGGCATGTTTTCAGGCATGACTTTCTACTTGGTCGCTAAAGGAGTTCAGCCTAAGAGACTTCAGGTGCTTCCCCCTTTTCCCAGTTTTTCCCATTTATTTTACCCCCTATTTGGTATTCTCCTTTTCTCTTCTTTTTTCTGCTCTTTGATTCTCTTCTTTACACTATAGAAATGCGAAGAACTGTTTTGTTTGAAACTTTCATAGTAAGAAAAAATAGTTTAATTTGTGCAAAAACTGGAAATACCTTTTCATCTTCTGGGTTACTGCTTGAAAAAATATCTTTAGTTTCTCAATGACTCAATTCTTGGTTCGTTTAAGAATTGTTAGTATATCTGATGATAAGTGGCCACTGAGATGGTAAGATATAGGCTCACCTTCTCCCAAATTTGCTTATCAATATTGCAAAACACTTTTTCTTCAAAAAAAATAAAATTGCAAAACACTCATGTATTTGATCATATGGGCTAGAAACAGAGGTGCATAGTAATTATGCGTTTCGCTTTTTCTGAATATGCAAATGAAATCTCACTCATGCTACCGGAGTTTGTGCAATCTTCAAAATTCCACCTATAGTTGTTGGAGAGCATTTTGTGCAATCTTCAAATTTTTGGGCTGTGTGTTGGAGAGCATTTGGCATAAACATACTCCATTGTAGCTTCATTTGATAAACCATAGTTTTTGGAGGCAGGAGCATGTTTGGGAGTGGGATCGATTCGTGGGAACGCCGAGTCGTCATAGGGTGGAAGCTCTTTGAGGTTAGGATCGGTGCATGTGCATTTAACAAGTTAAAGAGCTAGATCTTAGCATACCTGAGAGCGAGATCCCATGTCACTGGGGTTGAGGTTTTGACTTGGAGGGATCTAAGCGCCACTATACTTACAACGCGATAAATTAATAGTATTATGATAAAATTAGGATCCGGCCAATGCCCACTCAATCCATTATCATACACCTTAGCTTATTACCAATGCCATAGCTATAACACTCCAATTTACTACAATAAAATAATTTAATAGTATCATAAATCGGCTTACTATTATATTACATTGTAGTTTTTTCATACCACAATTCTAGTATATCACGATGTGATATGCACCGCAGTTTAACTTATTCTAAAGAAATAAATCTATAATACAAATGAGAGGATGGGTAATCAATTAATGGTATAGCTCCTCTCCTTGAAGGGATCCTACAAGCATGTAGATGGAAATTCCATTTTATAGGGAGCAAGATCCCTATTTCTCTAAACCCATCTCCCTAAGATCCCCTAGAGGAACCACATGATTGAGTTCCTAAGGTGGGACTGTGGCCTTATCCCCAAGGTTCCCCCTACCATGTGATAAACCTCTTCATCAAGGTTCTGGAATATTAATCCATTAATAGATTGATCAATCACTTAAAGCAGTTAGTCTCTCATTGCCTAACTTCTGAGAATGATAAGTGATCTTCCTTTATAAGTTGTAACCAGTAAATCATGAATATGCCCCACGCTACGAATTCAATCCATATGAGCACTCTCCATGATCCACTAGCCATACTTTATGCTTGAAAACCTATTGGGTTCCTAAAGTTCACTGGTTAGGGACTGGTGATTTTTTGTCAGGCAATCTAGAAATATATGCACTATATGGACTATTGTGGGGAACAGATTGGTGTTGCTACTTGTTGTAGGCTGTCAAAATTCGCTGGTGAAAGTTGGATCTAGCTTTCTGGTCAGTTTTGGCAAGCTGAGACTGTAATCAGCCTGGTGGCTAATGAGAGCATGACTTTTGTTGGGGGAAAAAAATTCCTTAGATAGTGGTGCTGGCAGTGGAGTTTCTCTATGCCACCTCTTTTCTCCTTTTTTAGCAAGTATCTATGAGAAGCTCTACTTTCTGAAACACGCCAAAAAAATCTTATTGAACTAGGGAATGTGTGGAGTGATGTTCTGCGTTGAACAGGGATACGTAAATTTTCAGGAAAGGTAAAGGTCGTCTTAGATCCCCGTACCAATTTAGGGAAACTGTGGAAAGATGAAAATCCCTTTGACTGCCACTTTAGGGTTGTACCCAAATTAGGGTTATTTGCTTCCGACATCTACCTTATAACCTGGTGGAGAAATTGATTGCAGGGAGCAAATCATATAGATCATGGTTCAATTGTAAACTTCGACCCTTGTCCTGACTCCTGACATCAAGTTTGGTTGATAGAGCAGCAAAGTGGATAAATGATATCACTAATGCAACTTCATGACGTGAGGGAAGCAATTTAAAGAGCTTGGCCTAAATAGAAGATAGAATATCTTGACTCCACTGGAAAGACTACCTTGTGATCCTTGACTGTGGCATCATAGGGTTTCTCTGAATTATTTCCTGTATTTTCTCATGTTATGCCCAGCTTGCTTTAAAGTTGAGGTAGCCATCTATTGCAAAACTCCAGCTTATTAAATGACGGAAGTGTTTTGATCTTCGAACCAAATTTGGTGATCCTTTTGGAAACTAGTGTTAAATCTCGTGCCTTTGGAGTTCTCCGAGTATCAAGTCCTGATTTATCATAAGTCTTGCTGGATAGCGAATGAATATTTATCCCCTAGCTGGCATGGTCTTAGACTTTGCACATGAATCACCACTTTATATGGCTGGGTTTCTAAATGATCAAACTTCAACATATTTGCGAATCATATTGCATAACAAAATAACAACTGGACCCAATGTAGTATTGGTGTTGCAAGAACAAAAATAGGATGAATTTGGGAAGCCTCTCACTTCAGCGAAAATTGGCTATAAAGATACATATCTCAAAAAAAAAACAAAATCATCGGGCCAACCAGAAAGCAAGCATTTCTAATACTTGACACTAGTATGAGGTAGTTTTATGGAAATTTATCTTCCATTTTCTAATGTTCTTTTAAGAGCTCTTTTTTCTTTGTTAGATGATGTCTTCTGGATGGGGCTATTTACATAAGCTTTATACAATTCTTAGGACATTTTGGTTTGAAACAATTTATTCAGATTTGGAGGGAAAAGCTGGTTCAGATGGGAGCTGCAATTGAGGATCATCTTTCTAAGAAGGTTATGCATATCCTCGCCAAAAATCAGCAAACTCTTGTTGAGCAAGTGGGTCTCCGGCATCTAAGACATTTCAAGGGAGTAAGTTCCGCTTCTTTTTATTTTTTCATGCATTAGGGGCATGCTTGGATGCACCAAAAAAACTAGATACGTTGCCATTAGGAGATACAAGGTTATTTCAAACTCTTTAATGTTGTTTGGTGGTAATTAAAATAATATCTTGGATAGAATGTAATCTATATGAGCCTAAATCTTTGAAAGGTATTTTTTATTTTTCATTTGATAGCATCTCAATTTGTAGGGCTCCCACGTTTTTGTTTTTGTTTTTGGGTGACATGAGCTTTGCTATGAAGAACACTTCTCCAAAGACACCTTCCCACCTTCCCTGGACCTCTCTCTCTGTTATGCAGTAGCCATGGAAGAAAATGAGATCGGTCAAAAGCATCGGCCATGGAAGAAGCCAGATCCTTAAGTCTCTCTCTCTCTCTCTCTTCTCATCAGCTTTGGAAGAAACATCTGGTCCTCAACCCTTCATCAGACCCTAGCATCAACCTGATGCGTGTAGCCATTCGAGTGTAGTGTCTTGTCTATCCCCATAACCTGCACCTTCAAGCCACAACCTTCGCAAAACCTAATAATCCTTCTTTAGGAATATGGATGCCATTCATCTTCGTATCTTCTTTCAAAATTTGAGAAACTTCATGATTCTTTACTTTTTGTCAACCTTGTTTTATTTTTTATGAACTTCCTGGAAAAGTGGGGATCAAAGTTGGAGAAGTCAATTATGGGGATATGTTTTGAGGATTGGGTTCTTTATGGTGCAGAGAGAGATACGAGGGTGAATAATTACGTTAAATTGGGCATCAAAGTTGCAGAGAGCAATTATTGATAATCTGTTTTGATTGTTGTTTTTGTTTTTAAGTTTTGTAGAGATTGAGGGTTTGAGGTTTGGAGAGATTCAGGAATTGTGAAGCTTGTTTGAAAACTGGGGATCAAAGTTGCAGAGATCTATAATGAGGATTTGTTTGGGGGTTTGGTGTTTACTTGGAGCTTAGAGAAAGAGGAAGGGTGAACCTTGCTGAAAAATTGTCATGGGGAATTGTTTTGAGGGATAGGTTTCCTTGGGGTCTAGAGAAGAGTTGGTGAATCCTGCTGAAAAACCTGGGATGGGGGTTTGTTTTGAGGATTGGTTCTTCTTGGGGTTTAGAGGACAGAGAGAGAGAACGGGTGAACTTGCTGAAAAATTTGGGTTCGTTATTGCATGGAGAGAGAGAGAGAGAGAGAGAGAGAGAGAGAGTGGGGGGGGGGGGTTCACTTGTGATGGAGAGAAATGGAGGGCCACTTGTGATGGAGAGAAATGGAGGGCCAGGGGCCTTCCCAAACAATGCATACTACAATATCTTGTATATGGGGTGGTGATGACCAAACCACTAACATGTCTTTTTTGAATACGCTAATTCCAAACTGTGTAACATGACTAATTTGTCATTGAAACAGGTCCTAAGTATTTCAATCTAATTAGAGACTTATAGTATTTTGATTAAATTGCTTATACTTCTAGGAAATAAGAACTTCACATCATTGATGATCAAGTACCAACTATTTGCTTCTTGATATTTCTTTCGCATGGATGTCCTTAATTTTTGAAAGGCATATTCGGAGATTGGATAACAAATCCACGTTCTTTTTAGAATTTTGTTCTTAACTATGAAACCATTTGTTGCTGAGGTTTCTGTTCTTTATGAGCTTTGGCTTTCTTAATCCCTAATATAATATTCCAAATAGGTTATAATATTGCAGATAGGTTTTGATATATGATCTGACTTACTAGGGTTAATGCATTCTTTTCTATTCTTTAGCAAGGTTTCAAAAAACCATCCACCAGGGCCTAGGCACCCAAGACTCCTCAGACCACACGCCTAGGCTTGGGCGGCTGTACCTAGGTGGGTGCCCAGGGACGTGGGCCTTTTTACGAATTTTAAAGTTACCCAAAAGGGCAAAGGGGGTAATTTTGACCCCCCCTAAAAGGTATAAAAATGTTATAGGGGTTATTTTCAACCCCCCAAAGTTAAAAAAACACTTTCATAAGCCCTCAATCTCTTAGCTATACCTATTTTTGAGAATCAAAAGAATTTTTCGTGGTTTGAAGAAGCTTCCTAAACTTTTATTTTTTCATTGGAATTAATTTTATGGTTCTATTGGAGGTATTTGGAGACTTTTGAGGTGATTAGTAGCTCGATTGAGGTAACAAACGTTGAAGAATAGAGATGAGGGCAAAAAAGGTTAGTTTGTAGTCTTTATTTGAGTCTCATTTTTTGGATTTGAGATGTCTTTTGGGGGTCTACTAGGTGTGGCGATCCGGGATGGAAGTATTGTGTCAACCCTAATAAGAATAACAAAAATAAAATGATGTGCAATTTTTGTAGACATATTTCCAATGCCAGCATAAATAGGTTCAAGAAACATCTTGCTGTTATATGAGGTGATGTTATCTCTTGTAAGAAGGTTTCAGTGCTTGTAAAGAAAGAAATTTATGAGTACATTGAAGCTGAAAAAAATAAAAAAAGTTAAAAGAAAATTACATAGCAGAATTGAGGGAAGGGGTCCATAATTTTAATGATGATGTTGACATTGATGAGGATGAAGAAGGGGAAGATGAGGTAGGCATGGTTGCTAATCAGAGCTCTAAGAGTAAGAGGGGTTTTGGGTCTATGAGGCGTCATGTGAAAGGGCCTGTGGATAGTTTTATTATACCTAACCTAAAGACAGTAATTGATAAACGGAAGGGAAAGGGGAAAGACAAGTGATATTTTAAAATAGATTTAAGAAGGAAGACAAAGGCCGGGTGGTTCAATCTATTGCTTGGTGGTATTGCCATGCGGGCATTTCTTTTAATGCCACTCACTTTAATAGCTTCCATACAATGTTGGAAGCAATTAGGCAATTTGGCCCACGTCTGAAAGGCCCAACTCCATATTTGATTGGCGAGCCACTATTGAAGAAAGAGGTTGAGCATACTAAAGAATATCTTAAGACCCATAAGGATGGGTGAGCCAAATTTGGTGTTTCTTTAATGGTTGATCTATAGAGTTATAGGAGGAGGCGGAGTACCATGAATTTGTTGGTAAATTGTCCTTTGGGAACAATTTTTTTTGCGATCTGTTGATGCTTTGATGATATTCATGATGCTCATTATACATTTTCTTTGGCATTGAGGGGGTTGGGGAGGAGTATGTAATTCTGGTGGACACAGATAATGCTGCTGCTCCCAATATAGTTACAGGTCATTTGCTTTGACAGAAGAGGCCTCGCATATTTTGGACTCCTTGCGCTGAGCATTGCATAGATCTCATGCTTGAGGCCATTGGTGATATGACTACTATTGAAGGAGTTCTTTCTAAGGCTGAAGATGTTACAATCTTCATGTACAAGACACACTTACCCTTAGCTTGATACGCAAATTTACTAAGAAGTGGGAGATAGTGAGGCCTGAGTTCATTAGATTTGCCACTACCTACTTAATCTACAGGGCATGTATAGGAGGATCCCATTGAGGTATATATTTGCTTCAGAGGATTGAAGGTGTAGGTGGTCTAGAGATGTCAAGAGAAAGAAGGCACAAGATATTGTTCTTTCTAAATATTTTTAGCGTGGGGTAAAGCATGCGATACTAGTATTTCTACCCTTAGTGAAGGTCTTGTGTTGGGTTGATGCTTATAAGCCCTCTATGGGCTTTACATGTGATGCACTTAAAGGAACTAAGAAAGAGATTGCAGAGAATTTGAGCAGTGATGAGGCCAAGTACGACCCAATTTGGGAGTTTATAAATGCCAAGTGGGATAGGCAGCTCCATAGACCATTACATGTTGATGCTGATATTGAGGCAAATGATACAATTATGGATGGTTTTTAAAGAGTGCCTTGAGAGAATCAGAGGCTCAAGGAGAAGTTTAACCAGCAAAAGAAGGATCCCATCTCTTCGAAGACATGGAAATGCTTCAGATTGGCTAGTTGGGGACCTTGGTACTGAGGTGGTCTTCCTCAGGGAGGGTTTGACCTGGGAAGTGGTCAAGGAGGCTTCGGGATTAGCTTCTGATCTTTAGAGGGCCACTCGAGCAATGATTGCTGCTGGTACTTCACACTCTCAGAGGGAAATAGAGGAGGAGGTAGATTCAGAAGAAATTATGGAAGAAGAGCAATATGTTGAAGAGGGTGATGATTCTGATGATGACGGCCTTGATTTCGATGCAGATGCAACCGATAATGATGATGATTTGGCTTCTTATTTATGTCCCCTCTCTTCTTTCGTAGTATCTTTATTGTACCATCTTGGTTTGGACTTTAGACATTTGGATGTTAGACAAACTTTTCACCTTTTTGGACTATTTTATTGTGTGGTTTTATACTTTTGTAAGTTTGTTGAAGACTTGGAGAGTACTTGTAGTCCATGTTATTATGGAATATGGAGAATTGCAGAGTTGGAAACTATTAGTCTATTATTGTTACATAGCTTAGTAGACTTTTAAATTTTTGTATGGTTTGAATTTTGAATTGAATTTTGAAAATTTGAACTAGTTTATTCTCAACATGTGATAGGTCATATGTTTGTATTTAAAAAAGTATGTTACAATATTTTCAAATGCAATAAATTACAAAATTGACACAAATATATGCATATATGTGTGTTTGGACATAACATATATGTATATATTTAAAGGACTTCGTACACCCCACACGGGTCTCCTCCACCAATGATGCACGGGATCTAGGTTCGAGAACTTGTCTAACAACTTGGGAAGCCTAGGCAAAACCAACAGAGAGCATGACATGGGATAAACTAGACTAAGGCTCAACACATGAGCATAAGGCCAAGGCCTGGGGCTAGGCTTTTGTGGTTTGGGCGTGCCACTACTTAGGGTTTATTTTTCTTTCCTAAACCCTAATTTTAGAGAGAGAAGAAGAGGGAGATTAGAGAGAGGCGTGCCACCCTTTTGGCTCAGAGAGAGAGAGAGAGATTGAGGTCTCAAGTGTAGAGAATGAGTTTCTCATAGCTAGTTTACATAACATAAAGGCTAGGGTTT